CCGGCCTAATTTTTTGATCGTCGCTCTTAGCCAATCAGAATCAAGGATCATCCGCGCATTTTTTGTGCGGCACCTAGGTTTAATTGTTACCTCTCTCACACGCCTCTTTCGTTTTCGTGCTACGACGTGTTAGTATTTCAAACAAGAATTCTTCTTTTTTTAGTTAAGGTTACTATCCGCTTCTGGTGAAAAGATGCATGAAAAAGGAAATGCTGGTTTCACAAATTTGTATGCGTTTTGTATAGTAGGTTCTCTATTCTTGAACTCGATTTCTTGATCTTTATCCTAATTCCTTATCTTGCTCAAGATCTTGATCTTGATCTTGATCTTGATCCCTGCGCTTCATTTTCACTTCGCTGTGAACACCCACCGTATTTATAGAAAAATAATAAAAAAATTTTTCTCCGATCTTTGCTAATTGTATTACTTGTACCCTTCATTTTTTTTTTATAATGTTACACTCCAATAATAATAAAATTGTTCGCGTACCACTGTATCTGCTATAACAATTAGTTAATATATCACTATAAATTGTTTTTTTTTTTCTATCATGACTATCTGTTACGTATGTATTATGGTTAGATTCAGCAGTAACTTATATGTGAAGAAAATGTAATTTACATATTACTGTAATTAATAAATATATTGATGTTTAAATTTTATACAATATGTATTTAATCTTTATTTTATTAATATATTGATATATGAAATTTGCCCGTGATCATTTTTTATTATACCTACTTTATCGCCATGCAACATCTAAAAAAAAATTCTTTTCCCCATTTTGGAGTAACTATTATACGCTAATGTATTTGGTAAAGAATGCGATGAAACTTTTTTTTTTCTACTTAGTAGAGATATGATGCCTTCATAGTGAAGAATATAGAACCTATTATTTTTTTAAATTTGTGCAACTTTCATTTCCTTTTATACCACAAAAGCGGATAGTGCTCTTACAACAAAAACTTGATCCGCGTGTACAAGAATGAAAGAGGAATAGTCAAAAAACATTTTCGCAAAATAAAAAACTTTTTTTAAACCCTGGAAATAAAATTCAATCTCAGTTTATTAGCTACATTACGCTATTCTGTAATAAGTTTAGCCTATAATTTTAGAACAAAAAATTATCCGAGAATAGAAATTCTTCATGAGTATCGCGTAATTATTTAATTCATCCGAAATTTGCATCGTATGATCTGCTCTACAATAGAATAATTGTACCAAGATATCTAGATATTACTTTCTCTGCTTATACGAATATTATCAAAAGAAACCTGTCATCACATTTTAAATATTTAGTCAGCTTTCTATATGCCATCAATGGTAAATCTATCATTATAATAGATCTCCTTTAAATAGTATGCAGAAAGCTGACTTAATATTGAAACCCAATGACTCCTTTTTTTTTCTATGAACAATACTCGTATTATAATGTTTTTTCTATCCCTCACCAATCTTATCTCTATATCATTTTCCTAGGAAATTGGTCAACGATATCTCATCTGTCCCCAAAAAATTTCTCAAATATTCACATTACCGAATTCCCGTATAATTCATATCGGTCTTATGTAATTTCACCTAAAAAAAATTCTTTTTGCCCCAATTTTCCAATTCAAAATACTTCTTTGTTCTGGGATAATCTAATAATAATAAATAAAATAATAAATTACCTTATTAAAAAATAAACCACTCAATCTTCGCTATCAATAAAAACCTGTCATCGGGCTTTCAATATTTAGTCGCCTTTCGCATGCCATCTATTGAAATTCTATCATCAAAATAGATTTTCTATAAACGGCTTGCAAAAAGCTGACTAAATTTTGAAAGCCCGCCAGCATCTTTTTTTTTTTTTATTTACAAGCCTCGAATAATGAACTCGTATTTCCCTCTTATGCTTCTTTATCAATTACTTAAAAAAATTCATATTACTATATATTACCATGTTAGATGCAAGAAATAGATCGTATCAATATTATGTAATTTTGTTATTAGACTTTATCAAAACAAAGAAAAAAAAACAATCTATCAGAATCTTCAATTCCAAAAATAAATTATTATATTTACCTGATAATGAATATATAATATTAAATAAAAATAACCTTTATCAATCTTCGCTTACTCACATTTCTTTAATAAGAAAATCTAAACGTGCAAATATAACTCATTTCGTCTCTATTACTATCTTTACCTGATAATAAATGCTCATCGATCTATAGTAAGCTTACATTTTACATACTACTACCTACAAGGAAAAAATCGTGGCTTAATTAATAAAAAAATAAAATAATCATAAAAAAAGAAACACAAAACGAAATCTAAATAAATTAATAAATATATTTCTTTAACTTTTACTAAAGAAAATATTTGGTCTAATCTACGATTCTTTATCACCCTAAAAAAATTTGCTTTTTCTTTGATTTTTTATTTAGACTAATAATAAAAAAAAAATTAAAATATTACTATGTCCTCTGTAAAATAAAAAATTATAAATTCGATATTAATCCAAAAAAAAAATAAATCTTAAATCCTTTAAACTATACTGTTTTATCAAATCTTTCTCTAAATTCCCTTCTAATTATGTCTTCCGTGTTCACTGCTTTTTGCTTTATTAAAACTGTTAGTGGAAATGACAAATTCTTGACTGGAACTGCCGTATATCGTGTAACTAATGATGAAAATGAATTTAGAGAACTCACCTACAAGGGTTTTACTGGAAATTCTGAAACTTTAATAATTGATTTCGAAAAAAATTCCATCGTTCTCATGATAGGAAGATATGTTTACCATCAAAATAGTGAATATGTAAGTTTCTTTTCCTTACCAATTTACCTTTTTCCCATCAACATTATTTATCTTGATTCTATTTTTAAGCTCAGCCTTATTCAAACCATACCGCTTTCTTCCCCTCAACACGATTCAACTTGTGCTCCCGAAGACCTCCCATTGGCTTTTCCCCTTTTGCTTTATACTGCGCCTGCCATTACTAACTCCTATAAATTTAACGATACTATTGGAAGGCAAAGTTTTATGTTATCAAAAAAACTTTACAATCCTGTAACTGACCAGAAAGCTATTGAATCTGATGTAATCGTATCTTATACCAATGCAAATGGTCGTTATGATTCTCTTAAAGAAAGCTTAAAGAAGAGTGTTATATCAGCTGTTGGAAGATTAAAACTTACCTCCAATAGCAAAATCCCCCACATAATTTCCTCTGAAATCGAGTGGAGTTATGCCGCAAATGATCTGAAATCATCAAACAAACCCTCTATAAAATCTAAAGAGTTAAACACTCAACTCGATTTGATTGAAGAACAGTATATTACTACTTCGCAAAACTCTAATAAAAGAGTATGATCTAGCCTCTTCGCCTCCTCTTTGAGTACTTCATCCGATAAACCTTTAGCCACAAATCTTAAAGACCTCGCTGATCAAATCTGAAGCACTACTTCTGAAACACAAAACACTTCTACTGGATCATCTAAATAAATTATACCTTTATATAACTGTCATATATCAATTTTTGATCTATTATTTAGCTCAAAAATATATTTCTCAAATAAATGCTATACCTTATATTTTGAAGTCACGCTATTTTTATATCTTTTTTTTACTATACAGCTACTTTCAAAATTTATCTTTATTTTGTTATAAATATATGTTTAAATTTTAAATAAACATCTCATTTTATCTCTCAAATAATTATATAACTATCGATCTAATCAGTATCTTACCTATTTGATTAATAAAACAAAAAAAAAACTTGCTACTTTTCTATACATTGCACTGTTAAAAACGATAGCTTTGTTACACCATTTGTGTTCGGATCTCACAGTTGAAACTAATTACATATGCAAAAATTTGTAACACTCTCTCAGCCAGTTATATATAATACTCGTAATTTAAAATAATCTTTTTATTACCTTATTCCAGTTTATATTACAACCTGTATAAATTTCATTCCCAAATTCGGTATTCCAAAAAGTTAATCAAAAATATTTTCAACCTCTGTAATTTCACTATAAGTAATCTCGATTTTCCTACCTTCCTCACCAATTTTTCTCAATATACAATTTCTCCCTTCTTTTTCTTGATACAAATAATAAACTCGCTTTACGTTATGCCTAACTACGAAATTCATACTTTTCCACTATATACCTTTGAATCAGATAATCTTTTTACTACGAATTCGCTTAACGACTCTCCAGATGTAACCTTATTTCGCTCTTACCATTTTAGATCTGAAATAAATCAAAATTTATCAAATGCCCCAATTCCTGACAATACACGTTTTTTACCGAATCTTACCTCCTTTTTTAATTACGAAACCGTTCCTCTCTCTCAATGACAAGATCTTCTCCGCCTCCTAAGAGAATTCCACACCAAAATATTAACTGATTACCCTTCCATTCCATGTGCCTACTGTTCAATGCTTATGATGAAGTCTTCAACTCAGTGGATTTCTTATAATCACACAGAAGATTATCCTTTACCTTACATTTTCAATATTCCTGTACATACTCAAATAAATAATCGAAATGTTAATCAAGTCGCAGTCTGCAATGAATATAAAAAACAATCTACCAGATGTTATCCACCTATCTTAACCCCTATCCCATCAGAAATCCATAATATTCTGATAGTATACAGGAAATACCTCTCACCAGTTCATATGAACTGCTCGTTAGGTCGAATGCCTGGCACAAACCACTACACCAATTACAGACATCTTGAAGGATCGATAGGATTAACTCATAACTACAGATCTTTGCAAATATACTCAGGTTCTATTGGTGCCTACCTAAATACCAATGAACCTCCATCTTGGTTTCACGCCTCTTTAATTCCAGCCTCTGAATGATTAAAACAAAACAATATGTTAATTCAAAAATATCACTCTGATTTAATATTATCCCCTCCGACTCCAACATCTTCCGTCCCTGTTCCCTTACCTTTAGCAAGGCAATCTCTTAACAATCTCTCTTCTCATAATCCGAATTGTACTAGTCTTCCTAATGAGACTCTGCACCCTCCTGATTTGGTTGTTCCAAACTATCTATTTCATCACGAAATTCATGACCAAGATACTCATCATACCCGCTTAATCGCTACTTCATTACCAAATTATAACAATACAAACCTTTCTATCCTCTTTAGCAATTCAGATCTAGAAGCTCTTATCTTTCCCGATCTATTTTCCAATGGCAAAGGTCATTATGAAGACATAAAAAGACACCTAAATCTTCAACCATCGATCGATTCCTATGGCAAATACATAAAATTACGCATGTTATGCCCGGATGCCCGATTTCGTTTACACTGGTATTGGCCACATTGGTCTTACCTAACCCTCGAAAAAAAGCATCATTTTCAAAACCAATATCGTTTACTGTCCATCCGATCTGTTAATCGTCAATACCATCCTACAAGAGCCGATCTAATTGCCAAAAGTTCCTACTCCAATAACCCGATTATCGATGAAACAAAAACAACTACCATCCCCTCTTATCTCAGAACTGCCGCCCCCTTCTTTAAAAAAAAACAACACCAGGTATTTAATATAATACAAACCTTAATTAATCTTCAAATTCCCTGAATTTTCTAAATCTCCTATTTACTTAATTACTTCTATAACTACCCAATCAATTGCTCAATTAAATATACCTTAATTAACCTACAATTCCTATCTATATTACCTAGCTTTAAATAGAATCCTTTAAATCCTGAATATCATTATTATATTTGTTTATCTTATTCTCATATTTAACTTACCCACTTTATCTTTTATTTATTAAAATATAACTTAATTAACCTACAAATCCTATCTATATTACCTAGCTTTAAATAGGATCCTTTAAATCCTAAATATCATTATTATATTTGTTTATCTTATCCTCATATTTAACTTAACCACTTTATCTTTTATTTATTACCACCTTTTACCTTTAAAATTTTTGATAATCTTTCTATGAGATATCAGAGAAGTGTCGGACTGAGAGCTACCCGCTATTTCGTGCCTATTGGTACCCATTGGACAGATATTCCATCAAATAAATATATTAAAAACCTACCACTTTTATTAACGAAGTATCAAAACTCCAATATCTTACCATAAAATTATCATATTTCCAATACACCTATCAGATACAATATCTGTCCGATGACTACCAAAAGGCGCGAAATAGCGGGTAGCTCTCAGTCTGACACTTCTCTGCTATACACAAAAATCTTCTTAAATTTACAAATTTCACCTGTACAAATCATATTAATACCTACTAAAAATTATTAATCAGTTCACTTTAATAAACTTTCCTTCATTTTTTCATCGATATTCATCTAACTAATCACTTACATTTCCTACTTTTATTCAACCTCCAGGTTAACGCAATGATAGAAGCATACGGCCTTCCTCAACTCTTTTACACTACAACAATGGCTGAACACGAATGAGACCAGCTTCGCTCAATATTACTTTCAACAGATAATCAGGATCCCTTACCCTCCAACCGCTCTTTGCACGTCTATACGTTTTACAGAAATTACCTAAACAACATTCGCAATAAATTATGGAAAAATCTAAAATTAGTGGGTTGGGAAAAGTGGGAGCACTTCTTTGAACAAGATGAATTTCAAAATAGAGGCACAATCCATACCCATGGTTTTGCTTATACGGAAAAAAAAACTCCCGAATTAATTTTCCTAAACACAATTCGAGCTGATATACCTGATCCTAATTTAGACCCTGACCTATATCGATTAGTCACAACTTTCCAAGTTCATCATTGTGACCACAGATGTAGACTACAAAGATACACTGAATATCAATGCTCTAAAGGATTTTCTCAACCTCTCTCTCAGCACACTTACTGTACCCCAGACAGTTTTCGCTTTATCTACTGTCACACCAAAGAAGAAGATAGAATAGTCGTTCCTTACTATCCTGAAACCCTACTTATATAAAGAGGACACATAAACTTTCGATATATAACACCTAATGGATTCGCCAAATACATGACCAAATACGTAACAAAATCTGAACCTTTCAAGCTCTTTGATATCGACGAACAAGATGATTATAGAAAGCACATCCTAGCACGCCGATTAGGATCCATGGAACTAATGGTCTTCCTACTCCAATATCCCTTAACTAGATGCTCCATCTCGGTACTTTATCTTCCTTCTGCTCCATCTGAACTCAGACCAAGATCCATCAAACCCATCCACTTACTTACTCGCTTAAACAATACTAGAGACGATAGTACCGATAAAGATGGCAAGTATCCTATACCTGTACTCTAAATCAACCCCTATTGTTATATTGTTTCCCTTTCTATTCTTTTTAAATATCAACCACCTCAGTGCTTACCTATATATAACGTTAAATACAAACCTATCGCATAACATTGATATAATCAACATTTAACTACAACATAAACTATAATTCTATTAATAAATCATAATAATTATTTAAAATACTATTAAAAACCCATCAACAATAATTACTTACAATTACCAACATTCTATACCATAACTAAACAAACTAAATCTTATCAATTCCTTTTTCTCTTTTTTTTTATACCCTTCTAGACTCCAATGAAGAACTCCCTTACTGGGACAATGCCATTGACAAGTACTTCGACCGTCCCATCCACGAAATTTTCAACGACATCACTTACCCTAATTACTTTTGTCAATACACGATTGGATCTAGACAATCTAGCCAAAACTCCCGCCTACTTCATGCAAGAGACCGTAAAAACAGATTAATCATACAAAGAAAATCCCCTACTCTCCTAAGATTTACCTCCTATAAAATAGAAGATGGTGAGCCCTTCTATTTCCAACATCTTATCTTCAAATTTGCTGCCAGATCTGAACAAGATCTACTTGCCGAATTCAATATTTACAGAGATCGCTTTGCTGCTACTTTTCCTCTAAGATTTCGTCAAGAAACTGAAGCCCAGAAAAATAGCTACCTATATCAAAAAACATCTCTAACGAATTCATATATTACCATATTAATCTCTCTTTTACAAGACTTAAAAAATGCAGACCTTTCCGATTTAATCTTAAATCAATTCCTATCCTTAGAAAAACATCGTCTTCACCTTACTTCACGTTCTTCTTTATCTCTAGATAATGAACAATACAAAATATACTCTACCCTTTCCAACATATGGGGTCCCGCTTCCACTGGAAAATACCCTTACTTTTTTCTTACAGGATCAGCCGGAACAGGAAAAACTTTCCTTCTATACCAGTTGCTTTACTATTTACAATCAAAAAATCTAAACTATTTACTAATAGCATCCACCGGGGTAGCAGCTCACAATATAGGCAGAAAAACCTTACACTCTATGCTAAAAATCCGATCTCATGATGGCCACTACGAAACCTTAATCTATTCAAACTATGAAGATGAGTCTACTTTAAAAAAAGTA